GTTGCAATTCGTGCTGGCAATTAGTCATTCAACCTGAACCAGCCAACATTTATTGTTCAGTTAATCAGCATTTTATGAGAATTTGATGAGCTTTTCGAGAGAGTGAAAACTGATGTGAAATAGCAGATAATTTACTCTTCAATACTCATGTATTTTGGGAGCCTCCCAAGTGCTGTAGAGGGAGGGATGGGGAGAGGGTTAGATGGGGGGGAGGGGAGGTTGGTAAGCGAGGGGAATTGTTCTGTCGACAAGGAGATTTTTAATAATGAACTAATTTTCAGTTGGAGAAGGAGCTTATTAGCATATATAATTACATTTGAATAACAAAAACACAGAGACATGAAGATAAAGCCCGCAACCTGATTGCACGAAAGAGTGGCAGCATCTTTTGGCACTTTTAATAAATGCATTTTGAAATTTGTGACAGGAATGTGGAGTATTTTTATCATCTATTTTCATTGCTATGGGGGATTAAAGCTTTACTTCCAACTGGGGCTGATACTATTTATAATGAATTGTCATTCAGAACTAAATATTAACAGATGTGCAGTTAAGGGACCGTCTTAAAGTGACACTCACCTGGCATTAGGAGCGTGCGCTGGCTTGCAGGGAAGATGCTCCTTTTATGTTTTGGATGCAGTGCTCCATAATTAAACCTTTTGTTTTTTTTTTGCTGCGTGCTGTGAGTTGACAATGTGACCTCAGTTGGGATTCTTTTACTGATGATGGAAAACTTTGGCAACTGTGCCACTGGACTGGAAACAGCCAGAATGGCACCAGGTCCCCACTGGGTTCAAAGACAAGGGCAGACTTCATAAAACTTTGATCTGTATTCCCTTTGGGTGTCGGAGAGTGACAGGCTGATGTGATTAACATGTTTTAAATAGCAGCATACTTCAGGAGGGGGCAATACTGAGAAGCCAGAATAGGGGGCTTTAATACCGAAGAAGAAATTAGACCGGATTGCAGGGAGAACAGGAAACGTTTTCCTCCCACACGCGAGAGGTGGCAATTCAGCATTCTGTTCTCTGAAGGTCTGTGGATGCTGGAGACCAGGTGGAACTTTTAAGGTTGAGATTGATGGATTTTTAGACATAGAGATGTACATCATGGAAACAGACCAACTCGTCCCTGCCGACCTGATATCCTAAATTAACCTAATCCTGGTTGCCAGCATTTGGCCCATATCCCTCTAAACCCTTCCTATTCATATACCCATCCGGATGCCTTTTAAATGTTGTAATTGTACCAGCCTCCACCACTTCCTCTGGCAGCTCATTCCGTACACGCACCACCCTCTGTGTGAAAAAGTTGCCCTTTAGGTCCTTTTCTCCTCCCACCTTAAACCTATGCCCTCTGGTTTTGGACTCCCCCGCCCTGGGGAAAAGACCTCGGCTATTCACTCTATCCATGATTTTATAAACCTCTATAAGGTCACCCCTCAGCCTCTGACACTCCAGGGAAAATAGCCCCAGCTTATTCAGCCTCTCCCTGTAGCTCAAACCCTCCAACCCCAGCAACATCCGTGTAAATCTTTTCTGAACCCTTTCAAGTTTCACAACATCTTTCCTATAGCAGGGAGACAAGAATTGAACGCAGTATTCCAAAAGTGGCCTAACCAATGTCCTGTACAGCCACAACATGAATTTCCAATTCCTGTACTCAATGCACTGACCAATAAAGACAAGCATACCAAACGCCTTCTTCACTATCCTGTCTCCCTGCAACTCTACTTTCAAGGAACTGTGAATCTGCACTCTAAGGTCTTTTAGTTCAGCCACACTCCCCATGACCCTACCATTAAGTGTACAAGTGCTGGCCTGATTTGCCTTTCCAAAATGCAGCATGTTAAAAATCATTGAGGAGTACTCTCAAAAAGACAGGTAAATGGTTTTGAGATAAAGATCAGTCTTAATTTTATTGAGCCACTGAAAAGCTAATTGTTTCATCACTGTGAGATTGGATTGCAGTCATGTTGCTTTAGAGATGGAATCACAATCATTGCAGGAAGAAACAAAGAACCTGTAATATTTGGATGGTCCACCTACCGTAACCTCAGGTCACATCTCAAAGTGTCAGATGGACAGCTCACACCACGTACTTAAGCAGCAGTTGCTGTGTGTAAGAGTGACAGCTGGGGTTCACACAGCAAGATCCCACATTAGCAGAAGACAGATGAGGACAGTAATTGCCACATTGCTGCTGTTGTTTGTGGGGGGAGTGAGGGAAGGGGCTCAGTTAGCACAGTTGGTTGGACAGCTAGATCATGATAGAGTGTGATGCCAGCAGTGTGGGTTCATTTCCTGCAATGGCTGAAAAGCTCTCCCTCTCTACCTCTCCTCTCGCCTGAGGCATGGTCACCCTCAGCTTAAACTCACCATCTCTCTCTAATGACAGAGCAGCTCTAGGGACTTCTGGGGCTACAGTGATTTCACCTGTTAAGAGAGGCAATGGGACAATTTCCCTGCTCTTTCTCAGATGTCTGTCACTGTGTCTGTGGAGCAGCCTCTCCCTGATGATACACAAGACTGTATGTATCACTTCACATCTGTATAAAGGGGTTTGCACTGTGGGTTCATTGATAGAAGGTGGCTGTACAGGGACCCTGGTTGGTTCTGATCAACATGAGCCAAAAGTTCAAAGCTCATCATTTGGAGTTTCTCATGAGGAACTTGAGTTTCCTATTTCCTTGATCCAAAGGCTATCTTCTTCCAGCTTCCCATCCACACAAGCACCACTCCCCCACATATCCCCTGATTGATGTAAACCCACCAGCTGTTGAAAGCATCTGTGCTCATCCTCCTTAATGCATGGGGACCTGTTCAGCTCCTGCCTACCTTACTGGGCCATACAGGGTGATTTTCCTGAGTAAGACATACCTACAGTGAGATTGATGGGATTTGTATTCTCCTGAGCATATGGCCACCCACCCAAAAGTTTTATAGTCTTCATTATTGGAGACTCCAGCTGGTATTCAAAGATTGTGACACCTTGGTGAATACCTGATGCTCATTATAGTCACTTTAATCAACCTGTTTGGACAAAACCTCCAGGAAAAGTAGGACCAGGCCTCCTGGTCTTGAGGTAGGGACAGTGCCACCGCACCACAAGACCCCTCCTCTGAAATATATTGTATATGGGGTGGGGTGGCCTTCCAAAGATCTTGGGAGAAAGAGTGAGCAGAGAGAGGAGTATTTTTTCACTTGCTCGCAGGATGAGGGCATCACTGCCTGGGTCAGCATTTATTGTCCATCCCTAATTGCCCAGAGGGCAGTTAAGAGTCAGTCACATTGCTGTGGGTCTGGAGTCAATTGTAGAACAGACCAGGTAAGGATGGCAGACTCCCTGAAGGAAATTAGTGAGCCAGATGGGTTTTTGTGAAATCAACAGTGGCACATTATGTCAGCTGTGTTTTTTAAATTTCATAGAATCCCTACAGTGTGGAAACAGGCCCTTCAGCCCAACAAGTCCTTACCGACCCTCAGAGTATCCCACCCAGACCTATCCCCATATATCCCCCTAATCTACACATCCCTGAACACTATGGGCAATTTAGCATGGCCAATCCACCTAACCTGCACATCTTTGGACTGTGGGAAGAAACCAGAGCACCCGGAGGAAACCCATGCAGACACAGGGAGAACGTGCAAACTCCACACAGACAGTCGCCCAAGGGTGGAATCAAACCCAGGTCCATGGCACTGTGAGGCAGCAGTGCTAACCACTGAGCCAAATTGAATTCAAATTGCACCATCTGCCAGGGTGGAATTTGAACCGATGTCCTCGGAATATTAGCTTGGGGCTTTGGGTTACTAGACCAAGGACTACGCCATGAGGTCACCACCTCTCCAAAGTTCCACTGTGCTGAGAGCTAAGGGCCCGTTGATGACATCTTTGAATATCTTTGAAGTACATTTGGAATTTGGAATTGAGCGGAAAGCTCAAAGAGCCAGTCACCATAAAATTGAGTGAGGCTGGGATGTTGGTTGTGATGAGGAGATTGAAGAATTACAGTGAAGAAAAGGCTTATAGAAAACCTCACAAGCACATTGTTTAGTTTAAGGAAGGGGTACTGCAAACCTGATATGGGATATGGGCCAACAGTGGAATGTTGGCTGACCCTTAGAAGACAAAGGGTGGTAGTGGACGGAAAATATTCAACATGGTGCTCAGTTACGAGTGGAGTACCACAAGGAGGTGACTTGATAGAGGTGTACAAAATGATCAGAGGTATAGATAAAGCAGACAGCCAGAGAGAGAGAGGTTTTCCTAGGGTGGAGGTAGCTATTACGAGGGGGCATAGTTTTAAAGCAAATGGAGGTAGATATAAGGGAGACGTCAGAGGTAGGTTCTTTACTCAGAGAGTGGTAGGGGCGTGGAATGCATTGCCAGAGAGGGTAGTGGAGTCGGCCTCATTAGGGGCATTTAAGCGGCTATTAGATAGGCACATGGATAATAGTATAAGATAGGGGTGGAGGTTAGATAGACCTTAGATTTAGGGTAAAAGTTCGGCACAACATTGTGGGCTGAAGGGCCTGTACTATGCTGTACTGTTCTATGTTCTATGTTACTCCAAGTGCAATCAAGAAACTGGAGTGCAGAGCCCATCATGGAAGCTAACACTCACCCCAGACGTAAACACTAAGAAAACTCTCCACTGTCAGACACAGACAATGTGTCTCTGAGCAAGACAAATATAGGCTAAGGGCCATGTTGAAAGTAATTGAGGCTATCTGTTCTTTCCAAGTATGTAAGACCATAAAAGACATAGCAGCAGAAGTAGGCCATTCAACCCATTGCATTTACTCGGCCATTGGGTGAGATCCTGGTTGAATGAGAGGATAATGGCTTGAGAAGTGAACTTTTGGCATCGTTCTTCATTGAAACCAGTCTGAAGTCTGACAGTTGGGTAAAGCCTATACCTCAGCTTCATGAGCCGAGTGAAATCTGCTCATTGAGACACTATTTCTCACCCAGTTTCTCTTGTTCATTTCTTTCAGCCAGAGGAGTTGACCCATGTCTTGGAAATCAGCAATATTGTATTCACCAGCATGTTCGCCCTGGAAATGATTCTCAAACTCACTGCATTTGGATTCTTCAACTACTTGCGAAATCCTTATAATATCTTTGATGGCATCATCGTCATCATCAGGTGGGTAATGGGCAGCGGAGGGTGACATAGAATGTTCTCTGGGACTCATATAGTCATAGCGTCATACAGCACAGAAACAGACCCTTCGGTTCAGCTCGTCCATTCCGGCTAAGTTTCCCAAACTTAATGAGGCCCATTTGCCTGCATTTGGGCCATATCTGTCTAAACATTTCTTTTTCACGTTCCTGTCCAAATGCCTTTTAAATGTTGTAACTGTACCCACATCTACCACTTCCTCTGGTAGTTCATTCCAAAGTGCATACGAGCCCTTGGACACACGCCCCCCCCAATAAACATTCAGGGTGGCCCACCCTCAGCAAATACCCGGAGGGACATTGGCATGGTGGGTGACTAGCGCCCCTGCTGGTGGTAAGCGGATACTGTCTTCTTGAGGCAGTCCCCACTCTCAGTGGGCAAAGGACACTCTCCAAAGATGGTGCCCCTCCCTTTCCTTCCTGCTATTTCAAAAACTTAAAAAGAATGACCATCCCACTCCCACCTGCCTGCCAACACCAATCCTATAACTGCACGGGCTGTGTAATTGTGGGGTCTATTAAGCTATTCATTTTTTAAATTCAGCCGCATTTATTTATTTAACTATAGTGGATGATGCCACTGATTTTGGGAACTGCCCATTCTGCATTTCATGAAGGTGAGCTTGGGCAGGAGAGGTGGGGTTGGGAAGCTGCTGAGATCTGTTTGACATGCACCCCCCACCACTCACATCTCGATAAAAAAACACACCTTACGTTCATTCATGCCATCACATCAGTGCAAAAATTACGGTTGAGTGGGTGTTCCAAATCAGCCTCCTCCAGTGTTCCCCAACATCACAGATTCCTGTCTTCGGCCAATTCGATTCACTCTGCGTGATATCAAGAAACAACCAAAGGCCCTGGATGCTGCAAAGGTTGAGAGGTTCCATAATAGTACTGAAGACTACATAACAAGCTGTTCCAGTACAGCAACAACACTGGCATCTCCCCAACAATGTGAACAATTGCCCAGGTATGCCTTGCTCACGAGAAACAGGACAAATCCAACTCAGCCAATAACGACTGCATCAGCCAAATGTCTATCATCAGTAAATAGATCGTAGCCTCTCTGCTCCTATGATGCTGCTTGGCCTGCTGTGTTCATCCAGCCCTGCACCTTGTTGTCTCGGATTCTCCAGCATCTGCAGTTCCTACTATCTTTGAAGGCGTCATTTTGTTTATTTATCCTATTTTTCTAATCAGCCTGTTCAGAGATGTTACTACAGCAGCACGCGGGACTTGAATGTGGGCCTCCTAGTCCAGGGGTTGGGACACTACCACTACACCACAAGAGGCCTCACGGAAGGTGCCATCGACAGTACTGTCAACAAGCAGCACCTGCTCAGTAACAACCAGCCTAGGTCCTGCCAGGGCCACTCAACTCCTGAGCGCAGTCTAGATCCAATACCAATATTAGTCTTGATCCAATACCAGAGTCAATGGGAATCAGAGGAAATCTCACGGCTGTACCTGACACATAGGAAGATGGCTGTGGTTGTTGAAGGTCAGTCATCTCAGCTCCAGGACATCTCTTCAGGAATTCCTCAGGGTAGTGTCCTAGGCCCAACGATCTTCAACTGTTTCATCAATGACCTTCCTTCCATCATAAAGTCAGAAATAGGGATGTTCACCGATGATTGCACAATGTTCAGCACCATTTGTGACTCCTCAGAAACTGAAACAGTCCATGTTCACAAGCAACAAGATCTGGACAATATCCAGGCTTAGGCTGTCAAGTGTAAATAACATTCATACTACACAAGTGCCAGACCATCTCCAACAAGAGAGATTCTAACCATTGCCTCTTGACATTCAGTAGCATTACCATCACTGAATCCCTCACTATTTACCATTGACCAGAAACTGAACTGAACTCGCCACATAAACGCAGTGTCTACAACAACAGATCAGAAACTAAGAACCCTGCAATGATTAACTCACCTCCTGACTCCCCAAAGCCTGTCCACCATCTACAAGGCACAAGTCAGGAATGTGATGGGATACTCCCCAATTGCCCGGATGGGTGCAGCCCCAACAACACTCAAAAAGCTTGACACCATTCAGGACAAAACAACCGCTTGATTAGCACCACATCCTGCACCTTTAACATTAACTCCCTACACCGCCGATGCACAGTAGCAGCAGTCTATACCATCTAAAGGATGCACTGCAGTAAATCACCAAGGCTCCCTTGATAGCCCCTTCAGAATCCCACAATCTCCTCCATCTAGAAGGACAAGGGCAGTGAAACATGGGAACACCATCCCCTGCAAGTTCCCCTCCAAGCCACTCATCATCCTGATTTGGAAATATATCACAGTTCCTTCACTGTGGTTGGGTCAAAATCCTGGAATTCCCTCCCTAAGGCATTGTGGGTCTACCCACAGCACATGGACTGCAGCAGTTCAAGAAGGCAGCTCACCCCCACCTTCTGAAGGGCAACCAGGGATGGGCAATAAATGCTGGCCCAGCCAACAACACACACATCCCAAAAATGAATTTTTAAAAAGACTCACTTTCGCACACTTTCTTACACACATTCACTCTCACATTCACATGCACTCTTCCACACTCTCTCACACACTGTCACTCACACTCTCTCTCACTCACACTCTCACTCTTGCACACTTTCACACATAAAAGATTGACCTACTTTTTTTTAAATACACAGCCCTTCAAATTGAGCTCCAACCTGTTTTGTTACATGCATTATAGGATTTCAATGGGGCGGGGAGGATAGCACTCTCTGATCCTGTGCACTGACTGTCAGGGTGACTGCTTTGCCGAAATCCTTTCCCTCACTGCAACGAATTTTGCAGGAGTCTTTTGCGTTTAGAATCCAATCATACAGTTTTTTTGAGAAAACTCCAAACTATTCACCAGGTTTAATAAAAGCTGTACTTATGCAGCTCAGAGAACATCCCAAAGCACTTTACATCCAACCTGCATTTAGAGGTTTGGTCAACATCATAATGTAGACAAGACTGCAGCCAATTTGTGTACAGCAAGATCCCACTAGCAGCACTGCCTTATAACGACCAGGTCGTGAGTCCTAATGACACGGGTTGTGGGATAAATATTGGTCAGGGCGCTGTGTTCTCATCTAGACAGCCAGCGATGATGAAACTGGAGCCAGTTTTCCTTTGATCTGTGGAGTGGGGCTCACACTATGGCTTTGATAGATCCCTTAGCATCTGTAATAAAGAGCGTGGCTCTCGAAATGTAACATTCTCAGCCACGTGGGAAATAGTTGGCTGTATTTCTGACGTGATTCTTTCTCTGTGCAGCGTCTGCGAGATCATTGGTCAGTCGGACGGGGGCCTGTCAGTGTTACGGACCTTCCGTCTTCTCCGAGTGTTGAAGTTGGTCAGGTTCATGCCAGCTCTCCGCCGTCAGCTCGTTGTCCTAATGAAGACCATGGACAATGTCGCCACCTTCTGCATGCTGCTGATGCTCTTCATCTTCATCTTCAGGTAGGCCAGAGTGTCCCAAATCCTCACATTTCCCTTCCAGGGTCAGCATGTGTCATTCTCTGTGAATTGGCTTGACCATTGGCAATTTGGCCTCGTTTCCATGACGGTGCACTGCGGTGAACCCAACCCAAGGGTTAAAAGACGTTTCCTATCAACATAAAGCAACATCAAACCTCACAAAACATTTGATTGGGAATTATAAGTGCGCATTAGGATCCAAGGAGGTTCAGTGTAGCTGCATGATTGGATATGAAGATTATGTGAGAAAATAAAGCAAATTGCTTTGACTGTTGGACACCCATCTGCACACTTCAGGGAATGACAAGCAAGTGCTTTAATTGACTAAATGGAGAAGGGAGCAGATGGGGTTGATTTTAATCTGCAAAGAACTTAGTAGTACTTAATCGTCTCGATTTCTTGCTGAAATGAACTTTAACACACTGCCCATTTCTCCTTTTCTCAAGCATACTGGGAATGCACATATTTGGTTGCAAATTTAGCCTGAAGACCGATGGTGGGGATACTGTTCCTGACAGGAAGAACTTTGACTCACTTCTCTGGGCTATTGTCACAGTTTTTCAGGTCAGTGTCCTGAACAATAGGTGTCTGCTTCTTGGGTAGCTACCAGGAACTTGGTAAAAGTAAACTAGCAGCTGGTTGTATTTCTGTAGATTAATTAAAGGAAATCGGGTAGGACAGACCATATGATCATAAGATGTAGGAGCAGAAGTAGGCCATTCAGTCCATCGAATCTGCTCACCATTCATAGAATCATAGAGTCATAGAGATGTACAGCACGGAAACAGACCCTTCAGTCCAACTCGTCCCTACCGATCAGATATCCTAAATTAATCTAGTCCCATTCGTCAGAATTTGGCCCATATCCCTCTAAATCCTTCCTATTCATGTACCCATCCAGATGCCTTTTAAATGTTGTAATTGTACCAGCCTCCACCACTTCCTCTGGCAGCTCATTCCATACATGCACCACCCTCTGCGTGAAAAGGTTGCCCCTTTTATATCTTTCCCCTCTCACCTTAAACCTATGCCCTCTAGTTTTGGACTCCCCTACCCTGGGCTATTCACCCTATCCATGCCCCTCATAATTTTATAAACCTGTAGAAGGTCACCCCTCAGCCTCTGATGTTCCAGGGAAAATAGCCCCAGGCTATCATCCACTGCCTAAAACTCAAACACTCCAACCCCAGCAACATCCTTGTAAATCTTTTCTGAACCCTTTCGAGTTTAACATCATCTTTCTTATAGCAGGGAGACCAGAATTGAACGCAGTATTCCAAAAGTGGCTTCACTAATGTCCTGTACAGCCGCAACATGACCTCCCAACTCCTATACTCAACGCACTGACCAACAAAGGCAAGCGTATCAAATGCCTTCTTCAATGAGATGCTAGTAAACTCTATTAAAAATAAAACATCCCAAATACTGCAGCAGATACACTCAAATGCAATTCAAAACAAGGTATTGTCACAGGCCAGTGAAACAGAGAGGAGGGTCCTCAGTCCCCTCACTTCTGGTGAGCCTCCTTATCTCCGGCTATTCCTGCTGGAGGGACCAACTACCTAATGCCAGTTTCAGTGATCTTAATATAAATTAGTTCCTTAGTAATTTTTTTCTCTTAAATTTACTCCTGGGATGTTGGCAAAAGTTGGGTGTGTCCTGGGGCAGCACAGTAGCTCAGTGTTTAGCACTGCTGTTTCACACTGCATGGGAGCCGGGTTCGATTCCAGCCTTGGGTGACTGTCTGTGTGGAGTTTGCACATTCTCCCCGTGTCTGCGTGGGTTTCTACTGTGTGCTCTGGTTTCCTCCCACAGTCCAAAGATGTGCAGGTTAGGGTGGATTGGCCGTGCTAAATTGCCCCATAGTGTCCAGGGATGGGTGGGTTAGCTGTGGGAAATGCAGGGTTACAGGGATAGGGTCGGGGAGCAGGGTGAGTCTGGCTGAGATGCCCTTCAGAGAGTCAGTGTGGACTTGTTGGGCCAAATGGCCTGTTTCCACGCTGTGGAGATTCTACAATTTTAACCGTATTTCACATCATGTGACAATCTCTGGTTGAATAGTGAGTGCACTGTGACAATCTCCTCCGTGGCTTGTGAAGGAAACTTGAAGCTTTGTGTTTGCTACAAACCCTCTCCCCTCCCACCCACCTGCAGATTCTGACCCAAGAGGACTGGAATGTTGTGCTTTATAACGGGATGGCCTCCACTTCACCCTGGGCCGCTTTGTATTTTGTGGCCCTGATGACCTTTGGGAATTACGTGCTCTTTAACCTGCTGGTCGCCATCCTGGTCGAGGGTTTTCAGGCTGAGGTAAGTGTCCACCATCTTTCCCTTCCTCACCAAGTTCACTCAGGGCGGAGCTTTCAGAGGAGTCCTTGTGTTCGGGGTTTGCTCCCTGCCAACTCCAGATTCACCGCGATCAAGACGGTAATCTCCTCTCTCCACTGGCCGAAAGCATCCTTCAGCAGGTCGACCCCATCGCTCTTATCCCAGCTCCTTCTGGGACCCAGGTACATGACACAAAGCAGTTTGAGGGAGTAATGAACTGGGTAAACATTGTAAAGAGCAAATTGCATTGTATCAGACCACTGTGCGACTGTCCTTGCATTACTTGGTTGTTTGTGTTGTGGTTGATGCTTTAAGGTTCGCTAAGACGAGAGAGCTCAATGTTTGCTCCCATTCCCATTTCAAATCACAGGCTCAATTTTCTTGAGCAGAATGGAATGACCAAGTTTTTATTTGGTCAAAGCTTGAGTACTGTGGGTAAAAGAACACGTTATGTCAAAGCTTTTCAGTCAATCAGGACACTTCACACAGTGGCTCAGTGGTTAGCACTGCTGCCTCACAGCACCATGGAGCTGGGTTCGATTCCACCCTCAGGTGACTGTCTGTGTGGAATTTGCACATTCTCCCCGTGTCTGTGTGGGTTTGCTCCCACGGTCCAAAGATGTGCAGGTTAGGGTGGATTGGCCATGCTAAATTGTCCCATAGTGTCCAGGGATGTGCAGGCTGGGTGGGTTAGCCATGGGAAATACAGGGTTACAGGGATAGGGTAGGGAGCTGGGTCTGGGTGCGATGCTCTTCAGAAGGTCAGTGTGGACTCAATGAGTCAAGTGGCCTGCTTCCACACTGTAGGGATTGTATGAAATACCCATTTAAAGGGGTACTGTATAGAATGTTGCTTCCCCATTCAATGGAAAATTCTTGTGTGTATCCTGATGAGCCGAGGGCAAAAAGCTGAAACAAAATGGGCCTTGGTTGAGCAATGCTCAGAGCAGAACTGCAGAAGAAAGAACATGCATTTCTATAGCACCTGCAACAGCCCGAAGCACTTTGTGGCCAGCTAGGCCAATTTTAAGGTGCAGTCACTTGAAATTTTGGGGAAGGGTGGCAGCCAAAATGTGCACAGCAAGATCCCACAGTGCAGCAGTGCAATAGTGACAAGAGCACTGTTGATGGAGGGAATAAATACCGGCCTCAAGAATCAAGTATGCCCCAGTGGTCACAGTCGGGGAATAGATGCCTCGGATTAGAGTTCAGAAAGGATATTGTAGAGGGTGGTTCACAATGTATCAGACCACTGAGCAACTCACCTTACATTGCTTGATTGATTGTGTTGTAGTTGATACCTTAAAGCGGTTCTCTAAGATGACAAAGCTCGAGGTTTGTTCCCATTCTCACCTCAAATCACAGGTTCAATTTTCTTCCACTGTACTTGCACGTCAGGGAGATGCCAACAAGTCAGACTCGGAGGAAGAACAAACTTCAACAAATTTTGAAGACTATGAAAAGATCAAAGAAATACATTACTTATCAGGTATGCAACAAAACATAAACTTTCAGAAAACTGGGCAAATGTGTTCCATTTGTGAAGGAGATGTTCACAGTGGTTTTGATGAAATAGATCAGGAGGAACTGTTTCTAGAGACAGAGGGAATCCGTAAACAACAGGACACAGGTTGAAAGCAATTGACAGAAGAACCAAAGGATTTGGCGAAATGAGAAAACATTCTCTTGTAATGTGGAAAAAGATTCATCTTTTGAAGCTTTTCATCTTGTGTTCATCAGGATAACTTGCAACAATACCCATCCCAGGGGAAAATCAACAGTTAAATTATATGAGAAGAACATGCTGATGGGTTGGCAAGTGGAGTCTGACTAATAGAAGTTTTGCCATGAAGACTGCGCTATTGTCATACAGTCATAGAAGTGTACAGCACGGAAACTGACCCTTCTGTCCAACTTGTTCATGCCAACCAGATATCTTAAATTAACCTAGTGCCACTTGCCAGCATTTGGCCCATATCCCACTAAACCCTTCCTATTCATGTACCCATCCAAATGCCTTTTAAATGTTGTAATTGTACCAGCCCCCACCACTTCCTCTGGCAGCTCATTCCATACACGCACCACCCTCTGCGTGAAATAGTTGCCTCTTATGTCCCTTTTAAAGCTTTCCCCTCTCACCTTAAACCTACGCCCTTTAGTTTTTCACTCCGCTACCCTAGGGAAAAGACCTTGGCTATCCATGCCACTCATGATGTTATAAACCTCTATAAGGTCACCCCTCAGCCTCCAATGCTCCAGGGAAAATGGCCCCAGCCTATTCAGCCTCTCCCTGTAGCTCAAGCCCTCCAAACCTGGCAACATCAATGTAAATCTTTTCAGAACCCTTTCAAGTTTCACAACATCCTTCTGTAACTAGTTAAGGATGATGGATAATTAACTGTCAGGTTTTATTTAAAATTGAAACCAAACAAGTTGATTCTGATAGGTGAAAGTGTTTTTTAATTCATTCACGGGATGGGGGTGTCACTGGCCAGACAGCTTTTATTGTCCATCCCTAATTGCCCAGAGGGCAGTTAAGAGTCAACCATAATGCTGTGGGTCTGGAGTCATATGTAGGCCAGACCAGGTAAGGATGGCAGTTTCCCTCCCTAAAAGATATTAGGTGGGTTTTTCCAACAATCAACAATGGATTCATGGTCATCATTAGACTCTTAATTCCAGATTGTTTTTATTGAACCTGCCGTGGTGGGATTCAAACCCAAGTCGCTGGAACATTATGTGGGTCTCTGGATTAATAGTCCAGCTATAATACCATTAGGCCATTGTTCCGAGAAATTAACCAGCAAAAGGCTGTTACTTATTTTGTTGAGATGAAACACACACAGTGTGATCATGTTCTTTCTGTCTGCAAAAAGTGATCAGTTTTAATGTATGTAGCTACCAGTGTATACAAGTACACTCCACTACAAGGCCAACTGACAAACCACAGTTTGTTGTCAGTGTAGTTCTCCGCACATTTAGGATTATCCAGCAAATATCCAAATGCAGAATCACATGTAGTGTTGGTTATGGTGTTAAAGGTTTTGCAAGCATAGGCTGCTTGGGTATATTCAGCACCTTAGTTATTGCAAACAGCTGAAGGGAGATACTATTTGATACAATCACCCAGTCTTTGGGACATACGGTATCACACCAGCACTGAAACTCATGGAACATATATTCATTTGTGAGATAGGCAGAAAATCATTTCCTTGGCTTGATGGCAGCATCCTTTTGGTGACAACCACTCACATTGCTCCTACGTAGTAGGAGTGTGAAAGAGCCATCTCCACCTGTTACTCAAACCATTGAGATACATTCCAGGGTAAACTGAAGCAAACTGGGCTCTATTCAGGGCCAATAGTTATAGCTGTAAGTGAGTTTGTGCAAGGTAGACACAAGGGAAATGAGCTTATTGGGGTAACCATTATCCCACAGGATAGCTTTGCTGCCCCTATTATAGCATCAAGCTTGCACAGTGAACAAACAGCTCAAGCCTTATTTACAAGATTGTCAATGAAGCCAAGCTTTTGGTGCATGGAATAGCAGGATCTCCAGAGCGTAGACTGCCCAGTGAAGGTAGGTTTGCGATGGGCAGTGATCGATTTCTTAACCAGGATTGAGAAAGGTAACTCATTTCAACATTCATTTCGATGGTGAATTTGAACGTGATACACAACTCATTAAGGCTCTTTTTTTTCAAATTAAATATAGCAAATGTCTCATGTACATACTGGAAATATGCACAAGAACTTAGGTGTCAATCCACTCCACCACTGATGGAGTTCAAGAATGATATTTGCAAGAAGTGGGCCTAGCAGGAACCCCAGGGTAACACAATCTATTTTGGTATACATGGTATCTGTCCTTTTATGCAATATTAATGCAGGTTTTCCCCTTAAAATGGTGTTCTTACTGATTATCCCGATGCGCGCAAGATGAAAATCTTCAATGAAATCCTTTCCTCACCAATACCAAGCGTATTTTTATGTAACCCATTTCTGTGGTCTCGGCTTTTTTATTTGTTTCTTGATCAAGGGTGTCACTGGTTGGGTTTAGTGACCTTGAGGGTATTTCAGAGGCTGTTAATAGTCAAACACATTGCTGTGGTTCTGCAGTCACATGTAGGCCAGACCAGGTAAGTACGACAGATTTCCTTCCCGAAAGGATATGACCGAACCAGGTGGATTTTTAATGATAATTTCACATCCACCATGACTGGGACTAGCTTTGAATTCCAGATTTTATGAAATCAGTTTAAATACCATCAGCAGCTGGTTGTGGTGGGGTTTGAACTTGTGTCCCCAGCTCTCGGGGTTGGAGGACTACTGCACTATGCCATTGATTCCCACACACTGTGTTATCTGAAAGGGCAACTTCAACAGTCACTTTGAGAGGAGAATTGGATAAATATAAGCAAAAGAAACAGAACAGGTACATGGGAATACAGCAAAGGAATGGGAGGAATTGGAAAGTTCCACCATAAAATACAATGGCCCCCTTTCTACGTGGTATGATTCCATGATAATTCACCACACAGTAGGCCCTAATTTAAACTGTGTCTTTCACTGTTCAGGCCAAACTAGGGTTAGACCATAGGAGCAGGTTTAGGCCATTCAGCCCATCAAGTCTGTTCCACCATTCAATGAGATCGTGGCTGATCTGCTAATCCTTAATTCCAATTTCCTGACTTTTCCCCCTAACCGTATTGATTAACAGCTGTCTCTCTCAGGGTCGGTCTTGCAGATTTTTTTTAATCTACCAGTTCAGTCATTCCATGATTTAGCACATGTCTGGGCAGGTGGGACTTGGACTCGGGCCTTCTGACCCAGAGATAGGGACAGTGCCACTGCGCTATGACAGCCCCGTACACTTTACTCTACCAATGGTTTCTGCCTGGTGCGTGAAATCCTGGGATAGTGTCTCATTGTTATTTCTCACCTTCCTTCTTTAATGAATGCAGAGCTGAAAGCCTGTTCGATTGCCATGACTCCCAACGGGCATTTGGATCTGTCTCCTCAGAATCAGTCCGTAGGATCGAGGAGTTCACTACAACCGGAAAACCCCTACATCCCTGCGGGATCACGGAAAAGCAGCGTGACCTCACTGACCCGTGTCAACTTTGACCAGAAGTCACTGGTAAGAACCTCATTTGGCAGCTGCACAGCGACCTAGACCAGAATGCATTGTTGGTTGGGTCCTTCGAGAGGGAGTGCAACATGTGTGAAAATTATGAATTAATCTCTCTCTGGGTTACTGACAGGACGACACGGTGGCTCGGTGGTTAGCACTGCTGCCTCACAGCACCAGGGACCTGGGTTTGATTCTATCCTCGGGTGACTGTCTGTGTGGAGTTTGCACATTCTCCCCGTGTCTGCATGGGTTTCCTCCGGGTGCTCCGGTTTCCTCCCACAGTCCAAAGATGTGCAGTTTAGGTGGATTGGCCATGCTAAGTTGCCCCACAGCATTCAGGGATGTGTAGATTAGGTGGGTTATAGGGATGGGTCTGAGGTCTGGTGTGGACCTGTTGAGCCGAAGGGCCTGTTTCCACACTGCAGGGATTCTATATTAAAAAAAAGATAGCCAACTCAAATCAGACATGTTGCAGGAAGTTTCACCTCATCTAGCACAGACTCAATGGGCCAAAGGGCCTATCATTGTGTCGCAGACTTCTGTGACTCTATGACCTCCAACTGCCCAACCCCTCAGCCTCACTGCCATTGGTTGCACAACATGTCAATCATCCTGGCATTTTGCCTTCCCATCCAATCAGAAAGCCAACAAGCTCTTCATTATTGGTTCTGATGGTTCTTGACTCTCAGGAAAACCAGGCTTCATTCACATACCCCTCCCACCTCCAATATGTTTAATGTCACCAAAAAGGTTTTAAAGCTCCCCTCCAAGCCACTCACCATCCTAACTTGGAAATAATTCATTGTCCCTTCACTGTCGCTGGATCAAAATCCTGGAATTCCCTCCCTAATGGCATTGTGGGCCTACCTACAGCACAAGGACTGCAGCGGTTCAAAAAGGCAGATCACCACCACCTTCTCAAGGGGAAACTAGGGACATGCAATAAATGTTGCCCTGGTAGCATCCCAGGAATGAATAAAGAAAAATGGTTCTCACCCTATTGCAAAGCCTATGACTGACAGGTAACAAAGGATGAACTTTCGCAGCGATGCATGGCATGGTCGAACAGCCGAACAACCTCACATGAAAACAAGGTATTTTGGGCAAGAAAAAGAAAGCATTTGCCTTTAGCTGTTTTCAATCCTCAGAAGCTGCAAACTGCAGGAACACAGTCCCATGCTGGTCAATTTTAACCCTGCCCATTCAGTAAGAACCAAAATAGCGGCATGTTGTAAAGAAGGTAAGTTATTTATTGGCTTACAACTCAATTATCTCCTGACATTTTGCAAGCTTCCGTTTGTGAGAGGGAAGCCACACAAACTGGAATCCCATTCAGTTAAATAGATCTTGATTCCACTTTAACAGGGGGTTAGGGTGACGATTTAGGATTAGGGTGAGGGTTAGGGTTAGGATGAGGTTGGGGTTAGGGCGATGGTGAGATTGAGGGTTAGAGTGAGAGATAGGGTTCAGGTGAGGGTTAGGGTCAGGGTTAGGTTTAGAGTGAGAGTTAGGGTGAGGGTAAGGGTTAGGATGAGGATAAGGGTGAGGATTAGAGTTAGGGTTGGGGTATGGGTTAGGTTGAGTGTTAGTATTAGGGTTAGGGTGAGGTTGAGGGTTAGGATTAGGGTTAGGTTTAGGGCAGAGGGCTAAGGCTAGGTTTATGGTTAAGGTGAGGGTGATGGTTAGGGTTAATTTGAGGGTTAGTGGTAGGGTTAGGGTTGGAGTGAGAATTAGTGTGAGGGTTAGGGTGTGGGTTAGGGTGAGGATGAGGGTGTGGGTTAGGGTGAGGATGTAGGTTAGGGTTAGGCTGGTCGACTGAGCCACATGATGACTGTTAGACATTGTAACCCTATCGCAGCTATACCCTTTGGCCAAGGCATGTTGTCACTCAGTGATCTCCCTTTCTAATGAGAAAGCAGCCCTCAATCCTATGAGCTTTTGGAGGTTTTTAAAGATTCCACTCCTGTGACTTGAACACAGATTCACTCTGTAGGACAGGGCCCAGGGAACACTGCGCTGCTAAGCTTCAGGTGGCCAGTGCCCAGCCAATGTCAATGGCCCCTTGGCGCACTCAGCCGTGAAGGGAGGGCGCAGGGAGCTCTCGTCCCAGGTCCCAACCTCCATTTCTCCCTCAGCCCATGTTCGACCAGCTCATCGCATTATCCTGAGCACAAGGCTGTCTGTAACATTTTCCCCCATAACAGCAGTCACTGGGTTTTTTACATCATTCCCTTATGTTTAAGTGAACCACATCGCCATGCCATCACATCCCGAGACAGATCTCTGAGGAAGTGGCACGAACGCTGTGCCAATGGTCCCTTACAGTTAATCATTACAAATGGCAAAAACAAGATCAGTTTTCCTTCCTGCCTTTCACACTCACTGGTGTACTCTATGGCAATTATATTCCTTGTGCAGTTTGCAATGCAGAATGACACAGTCTCCAATTTGTGCACAGCAAGGTCCCACAAACGACCACAAGGTAATAACCAGATAATTTGTTTGTCAGTGATGGTGGTTGAGATGTAGCTTTTGGCCAGGGGCAACAGAGAGCACTCCCTTGTCCTTCTTCACATTAGTAGCCGAGGGACCATGCCAGAAGATTGACAGGGTCATAGAGTTTTACAGCATAGAAAGAGGCCCTTCAGCTCATCGTGTCTGCACTGATCATCAAAATCCATCTATTCAAATCCCATTTTCCAGCACTTGGCCTTTAAACTTGGATTCAATGGCAATTCAAGTGCTTATCTAATCATTTCCTAAATGTCTCCATGGTTCCTGCCTTTATCACCCTTTCTGGCAACAAGGTCCATATGACCACCACGCTCTGGGTAAAAAATAATTTTCTCAAATTCCCTCTAAACCTCCTGCTCCTTACCTTAAAACCTGGTTACTGACCTCTCTACTAAAGGGAATCATTTCTCCCTATTTACCCTGTTCACATCTTTTATACTTCTGTGCATTTCAGTCAGATCCCCCTCAGCCTTCTGTGCTGTAAGGAAAACAGCCCAAACCTATCCAGCCTCTGCATTGCTGAATCACTCCATCCCAGGCAATACCCTGGTGCATCTCCTCTGCACCCCCTCCACTGCAATCACATCCTTCCTATAGAGTAACGACCAGAACTGCACATAGTGCTCCAGCTCTGGCCTAACTAACATCTTATACAAGTCCATCATAACACCTCTGTTCTTTTAGTACCTCAACTAATAAAGGCAGGTATCCCATATCCTTGCTAATCTCCTGATCTACCTGTTCCTACTGCCTTCAAGGATCTGTGGACGGAATAGTGGCTAAAACGATATGAATGCTCAAAATGTTAAGTTCCATGGACAGGTTACAAGGATCAAGTTTGTATTTGTTCAATCACAGAGAATTAAGGACCAATCTGATTGAGAAACTGATTGAAGGATATGATGAGGTAGAAAGAGGGAAACTATTTCCCCTAGTGTGGGGAAGGTGGAACTTTCACCTTTGAACCAGGTCCTACACGAGGGTGATATCAGGAAGCACTTCCTCACACAGAGGTATGTTTCCAATGTAGGTTTTCCACGTGCCTTCTGAACTATCCGCTCCACTGCCTTTGAGGATCTGCAGAACATACACCAATGATTCTCTGATCATCCTGTACACAGGAGGATCCTGCTATTCATCATCTACTCTCATTCCTTGCCACTTCTCTCAAAAATGCCTCCTTGGGCCTCCAGTTAATGTCTCATCTGAAAGACAGAGTGCAGCATTTCCTCAGTACAGGTCTAGGAGTGTCACCTCACTCAGACCTATCCCGGAGTTAGCCTTTGCTATCTCGGCAGCCTCCTGTCAGAGGCTGGCCAGTCACATGACCGAGTGAAACAGGCCAAGGGATCTTGGCCAATCCCCCTGCACATCCCCCCAGTGTGACAGTCAGGGGGTGATGACCCCCCCCCCCCCCACCACCTGACAGTCACATGTGTGCAGCCACAGGAGATGAGGGAGATATTTTAATGAATAGTTAGTGTTTACTGAGGAGAGAATCATGGTGAAGACCTCCCCCCCACCCCCCAAAATGTGACAGTTGGTGATGACCGAACATCCCATCTGACAGTCAGGTGGCGATGACCCCTGACCCCGTGCTCCCATGTGACAGGTGGCGATGACCCCTGGCCCCCTGCTCCCATGTGACAGGTGGTGATGACCCCTGGCCCCCTGCTCCCATGTGACAGGTGGTGATGACCCCAACCCCCTGCTCCCATGTGACAGGTGGTGATGACCCCAACCCCCTGCTCCCATGTGACAGGTGGCGATGACTCCTGGCCCCCTGCTCCCATGTGACAGGTGGTGATGACCCCAACCCCCTGCTCCCATGTTACAGTTGATGATGACCCCAACCCCCTGCTCCCATGTGATAGGTGGTGATGACTGTGTACTTTGCTCTTTGCAGTCAAGCCGTCGAAGCTCTCACTATGTACCGTGGGGTGCTGGCAGTAACTGGGGCAGCCGGAGGACCAGCTGGAGCAGCGTAGGCCGAGCCTCGAGCCTGAAACACAAGCCTCTCTCCGGGGAACACGAGGCCCTCCTCGCGGGCGACAGGTGGAGAATCCCCTCGACCTCTGATGACCCCAGAGATGCCCGGCCCGAGGAGGCTGCCAGCTCCAACCCACTGCATCGTCGGGCATTATCGCTGGACACCAAAGGTTCAGGGGACTTGCCGGAACTCCTCCAGGTCCCCGCCGTGCAGCCCGTGCCAAGGAAGAACAGCATAGCAACGGTTACCTTGGAGCGTAGGGACTGTAATGGCAAGGGCCCACATATTGTGAAGGAAATCTTCCCAAAGATGAACAACAGGAAAGACCAGGGCGTTTACGATGAGGAGATCGACTATGTGAGTTGACGAACGATTTCCCGTATGTTTTACCATCTCATAGAATCATACAATGCAGAAGTTATGGAAAAAGATAGGACAGGTCCAAGGGTTAAGGTGCTAAACTGGAGCAGGGCCAATTTTGGGACCATTAGGCAGGATATATCAGAGGTCTATTGGGTAAGTCTGTTTGAAGGAAAAGGAACAAAATGCAAATGGGAGGCTTTTAAAAGTGTGACATCTAGAATCCAGGGACAATATGGCCCTGTTAGGGTGAAGGGAAAAACTGGCAGGTTCAGGGATCCCAGGCTGATGAGGGATATTGAGGCTCTGGTCAGGAAAAAGAAGGTGGCATACGTTGGGTTTAAGCTATCGGGCTCAAGTGAATCCACAGATGACTATAAAAAGTCTAGGAGCACACTTAAGAGGGAAATCAGAAGAGCAAAAAGAGGTATGAGATGGATCTGGCTGATAAGGTTAAAGATAATCCCAAGAGGTACTACAGCTATATTAAGAGTAAAATGGTCGCTAGGGAGAGAATAGGTCTCCTTAAAGATCAGCATGGCCATCTATGTGTGGAGCCACAGGAGATGAGGGAGATATTTTGATGAATATTTAGTGTTTACTGAGGAGAGAATCATGGATGCTAAGGAAATAAGGGAAACAAGTGGGGATGTTTTGGACTGCATACATATTACCAGAGAGGAGATGTTTGCAGTCTTAAAGTGCATTAAGGTGGATAAATCCTCTGGGCCTGATCAAGTCCATCTTCAGAAGTTGTGGGAGTCTAGGGAAGAAATTGCAGAGGCCCTTGCAGAGATTTTTGCTTCATCTTTAGCCAGTGGTGAAGTTCTGGAAGACTGGAGGGTGGCTAATGTTGTTCCATTGTTTAAGAAAGGTGGCAAAGACAAGCCAGGGAACTACAGGCCAGTGAGCCTGACATCAGTAATAGGCAAGTTATTGGAGAGGATACTGACGGACAGGATCAACCAACGTTTGGATAGTCAAGGTCTGATTAGGGATAGTCAGCATGGATTTGTGCGGGGGAAGTCATGTCTGACAAATCTTTTAGAGTTTTTCAAAGAGGTAACCAAGAGGGTAACCTGATGAGGGTAGGACAGTGGATGTTGTCTGTACCATAAGGCCTTTGACAAGGTCCCGCACAGCAGGCTAGTTATGAAGGTTAAGCCGCATGGGATCCAGGGAGAGCTGGCTAATTTGATTCAAAATAGGCTCAATGGTAGGAAACAGAGGGTGATGTTTGAAGGTTGTTTCTCGAACTAGAGGCCTGTGACTAGCGGTGTGCCACAGGGGTCAGTGCTGGGACCTTTGCTGTTTGTTATTTACAGAAATGATCTGGATGTGAATGTGCAAGGCATGATTAGTAAGTTTGTGGATGATACAAAATTAGGAGGTATCATTGATAGCAAAGAAGGTTATCAAAAATTACAGAAGGATCTTGATCAGATGGGGATTGAGGATTGGCAAATGCAATTCAATACAGATAAGTGTGAGGTGTTGCACTTTGGAAAGTCAAACCAAGGTAGGACTTACACAGTAAATGGTAAGGTCCTGAGGAGTGTTGTGAAACAGAGGGACCTAGGAGTAAAAGTACATAGTTCATTGACAGCAACGTCACATGTAGGCAAGGTGGTGAAGAAGGTGTTTAGCATGCTGGCCTTCATCGAGGCACTGAGTATAGGAGTTGGGACATTATGTTACAGTTGTATAAGTCATTGGTGAGCCTGCATCGGAGTATTGTGTACAGTTTTGGTCACCCTGTTATAGGAAAGACATAGTTAAACTAGAAAGTGTGCAAAGAAAATTTACAAGGATGTTGCCAGGACTAGTAGGCCTGAGTTATAGGAAGTAGTTGGCCAGGAAAGGACTTTATTCCTTGGAACGTAGGAGAATGAGGGGTAACCTTATGGAGGTGTATAAAATCATAAGGGGCATAGATAGGATGAATGCATATAGTCTTTTTCCCAGGGATGGGGAATTGAAAACTAGAGGACATAGGTTTAAGGTGAGAGGGGAAAGATTTAAGAAGGACCTGAGGGGCAACTTCTTCACGCAGAGAGTGGTGTTTTTTTGGAATGAGCTGCCAGAGAAAGTGATTGAGGCAGGTACAATAGCAACATTTAAAAACCATTTGGATAGGCACGTGGATGGTAGGGTTTTAGAGGGATACGGACCAAATGTGGGCAGTTGGAACTAGCTGAGTGGGCACCAGGGTCAGCATGGACCAATTTGGGCCGAAGGGCCTGTTTCCATGCTGTATTACTTTGTGACTCTATGACTCTGAGCGCTCCTTCGACCCATCGCATCTGCACCAACAAAATTTACACTGTTTTTTTAGTCATTCATAGAATGTTGGCATCCCTGGCCAGGCCAAACCAGCATTTATTGCCCAGAGGCCAGTTAAGACTCAACCACATTGCTGTGAGTTTGGAGTCACATGTAGGCCAGACCTAAGAATGACAGATTTCCTTCCCTCAAGGAACCAGATGGGTTTTTCTTGACATTTGTCAATGGTTTCATTGTCATCATTAGACCTTGAATTCCAGATTCTTTATTGAATTCAAATTTCACCATCTGCCATCACAGGATTTGAACCTGGGTCCCCAGAACATTAGCTGAGTTTCAATAGTCTAGCGATAATACCACTAAGCCTTCGCCTTCCCAGCTTTCCAACACTTGGCCCCAAACCTTGAATGTCACAACATTGCAAGTGTTAATCCAGGTACTTTTTAAAAGTTCTGTAGAAGAGTCACTGGACCCAATACATTCACTTTGCTTTCTCTCCAGAAATGCTGCCAGACCTGCTGAGTTTCTCCAGCAACTTCAGTTCTTGTTTCTGATTTGCAAAACCAGTACCATTTTTTAAATGCTGTGAGGTGTCCCACTTTAACTACCTTCCCAGATTCCCCCAATCATCCTCTGAGTAAAAAGATTTTTCCTCCAATCCCCTTTAAACCTCCTGCCATTGACCTTATAATCAAAATCTCCTTTGAAATGCAGGATTCTTCAAAGAAAATGGGAACTCCGATGAATTTTAAAGGTCCGTTTCAAAGAGGGCCAATTCCACCATTGTCTGTGTTAACCCTGTTGGTCAGGACTGGCTTTGCTCATCCTACAGGTCACAGTGTCCCACATAGAGTGAAACAAATGCAGCACCGGTGCAATAATCTGGGAAAGAAGTTGAGTCCATTCAACAGGTCACAGGCTGAGCAGTTGGTTCGAGGTGCAGATTTTCACCAGGGAGGAATGCAAAATGAGTGGTGTGACTCCACATGAAATTCAGAGAAAGATCATTATCCAGGAGCAGGGCTAGCACTGCTGCCTCACAGCGCCAGGATCCTGGGTTCGATTCCACCCTCAGGTGACTGCCTGTGTAGACTTTGCACATTCTCCCCGTGTCTGAATAGCTTTCCTCCAGGTGCTCCGGTTTCCTCCCACAAAGATGTGCAGGTTATGGTGGTTTGGCCATTGGAAATTGCCCCATTGTGTCTAGGGATGTGCAGTCTGGGTGGGTTAACCATGGTAAAACAAAAGCCAGTGGGGCGGGGGGGTGGGGTTCATAAGGATAGAGTTGGGGCATGAGTGGGATGCTCTTTGGAGGGTCGGTGCAGACTCGATGCGGCTCAGTGGTCTCTTTCCCCAGTGCAGGGATTGTAAAACAAAACAGAAAATGGGGGAAAACACTGGCAGCCTCAGTGGAAAGAGGACCATTAGAAAAATCCTCAGTGTCTGGGGAGGTGAGGCTCCTTAGGGGGCTCAGAACTCAGTCGAATGACTTTGTTCTCAATGTTATAACTATTTTAGGGTTCTGTGAAATGGAGCCAATGTTTCAAATGAAATGTGAGTGTCTTTAGAACCCACTCAACTCCTGAGAGATGTCATACCTGAACAGAAATATTAACTCTGTCTCTCGCTAGAGCACTGTGTCCAGTTCTGGTCACCTTGTTATAGGAAGGATATTTTTAAGCTGGAGAAGGTTCAGAAAAGATTACCAGGATGCTTCCAGGGTTGGAGGGTTTGAGTTAAAGAGGGAGGCTGAATAGGCTGGGACCTTTTTCACTGGAGTGTAGGAGGTTGAGAGGTGACCTTATAGAGGTTTATAAAATCATGAGGGGTATAGATAACGTGAATGGCAGGTGAGAGATTTAAGAAAGACATGGGGGCAATTTTTTTTATGCAGAGTGGTTTGTGTGTGGAATGAACTTCCTGAGGAAGTGGTGGATGTGGATACAGTTACAGCATTTAAAAGACATTTGGATAAGTTCATGAATAATAAATCTTTGGAGGGACATGGGCCAAGTGCAGGCAGGTGGGACTAATTTAGTTTAGGATTACAGTTGGGTTGAAGAGTCTGTTTCTGTGCTGTATGACTCTATGACTATCTCTCTCTGTCTGCCTCTCTCTGGCTCTCTGTCTCTCTCTTTTTCTCTCTCTCTCCACAGATATTTCCAGACCCGCGAGATTCTCCAGCACTTTCTGTTTTTATTCCATCTCTCCAGCATCTGCAGTATTTTGCTAATACCCCGAATGAGATGTTGTCACACATCAGCTCCTCTCATCAGGCCGTTTGTATGAACTCAGGATGTGATTGGCACTGAATTATAGGAAACTTTGCAAGGGGCAGAAGACAGGCGGAGAGAGGAGAAGACAGAGATTAAGTGAAGGAGGAAGACGGAGAGGAGTGTACAGAGATAGGGAGGAGTGAGACTGTGCAGTAATTTGAAAACAAGATTGAGAATTTGAAAGTGGAGGTGTTGCCAAACTGAGAACCAAGGATGGGCCAGTGAGCACAGGGGTAATGGGTCAATAGGGCAATGGGTTTGGGTACACTTTTAGGCAGGGGCAGCTAATAAATACTCCTCGCAAATGGGTGAAAAGGTTAAATGGGACATCCACGACACCACTGTCTGCTAACACAGCACTTCCTACAGATCTAACTGGTACTACAGACAGTTGAATAGGTTTCCCTATCAAGACACTATGGTCTGAAAAATGTTCAA